ATACAGATATGATTTGCTTTGGAAATAGCTGTCAGAAATGCCCAATACTCTGTTTCCTGAGCCCAACTTGGAATTTATGGTTATCGGTTTCACTATATAGTTTTAAGATTAGACCTTGAGTTGTCTGCTGTCAGGAGTTTCCTAGTGCTGGGCTATGGTTAGCAAGGTCAGGAGCTCATTCGGACTCAAAAAGCTGTAAAAGAATCCAGACATGGTAAGTATGTCAGAGGGGAAAGCTGTTAAAGACACGGTGTTCAGATTAAGAGCCGTGTAATCATCTAGGACAATTTAGCCACGTTACAGTCCAGAACACATGTAGATATTGGAAAAGAGAAACACGTGTGTGTGTAGAGGGGTGGCAGGAAGATATTTGAAAACAATGCAGGGACACCTGCTAAAAGTACCCTTTAAATGGAGAAATAATTATTTTCAGAGACATGGAGAAGATTGATCAGAGTTCTAGGCACAGTAAATAAGTAGGTTGGGATGATAGTATGTAAAACGCCTAGTTCCCATTTTTTAAATATAAATTTGAATTTCTCCCCCACCTCCAGGATACCTTAATGAAGGCAAAAAGCTGAGAGTATAGCTTTTCAGTAGAACACATCTGGGTTCTAGCTTGGCTCTGCTGGGTCACTCTGAGCAAATTTCTAAACCTTCAAAGCATCAGTTTCCTCATCTGAAAAACAAGGACACTCTTATGTACATCACATGTTTATGTCAGTAACTGAATGAAATAATGCATAAATAGTTCCTGGAACATGGTTACTGTTCAATAAATGGAAGGGTTATTACCATTAATAGTACAAGGGTCCACCACTCCAGCCTTCTCAAAATACAATCATATCTGATACTACATGTTCATCTTTGTAGGAATACGGTTGCATGGATAGGGCAGGTGTGCACTGTCCCCATTTTACATATAAGAAAAATGAAGCTTAGTGACTAGTCTCAAGGTCACCTGGCTGGTGAACAGTAGACCTTGGATTGCAACCACAGCAGTTCTCAAATTGAAACAAGGATCAGAACCCCAGATTGCAGGGCTCTCCCTAACCTCAGAGTTTCCCCTACAGTAGGTCTGGCCTGGGGCCCAAGAATTTGAATTTCTTTACCAGAGCTCAGGAGATATACCAGGACCCCACTTTGCAAACCACTGAGCTAGTCTGGAGCAACGTTTTTCAAACATAACTGCTCATTAGAATCTACTGGAGCCTTAAAGGAGTTAATGAACCCATATATTACCTGATTTTTCCAAGTAAAAAAGGATAAATTTGTAACAACTTTGGAAATTCTACAAAGTCTGGAAAGTTATCTTTTTACCTCCCAAAAATATAGTATTAATACAGAATACTGTAGAGCCAACTATTTAGAGAAGTTTTGCTTTTACGATCCCAAATTTTCCATTTAATGACCCAAGATTTTCTATCATTGCTTGCCAGATACTGAATCAGGGTTAGCTAATAATTGAGATTACTGGCCATAGCTGAAGCAGTAAAATTTCCTTAATATTACAATGAATACTGATACTTTGAAATTCTCTTCTGAAATGCTAGATAGTTGGTTATTTTAGCTTTGACAAAATAGAAATTAAAACCCTGCTTTAAAAAAATACTCTGCAATTTTCTATCAAACTAATGTCATATGACTTTTTGTTATTTAGGAAGTAATTTATTTTAATGAATTTATTCTGAACTCTTTATGTTGATAAATATATGAAAATTCTTTAAAAACTCTTTAAAAATTAATTATGAAAAAAGTTCTTTAAAAACTCTGTATCACAGTACTTTTGTTGGTTTCACTAATTAGAAATGGATTTCTATTTCTTCTTATATAAGTTCTTAGAAAAGTAAGAGTTGTTGAATAACCCGTTTTCATTTTCATCCATTTATTGTCAGTGCCTAGTTATAAACATATTTTATGTTCACAGACTACACTATTAATAACATTTTTTATTAAGGTATCATTGATATACAATCTTATAAAGGTTTCACATGAGTAACACTGGTTATTACAGTCACTCATATTATCAATATTAATAATATTTTGTAAAAACCTATGAAACACAGATTGCATTAATCGTATTTGGAGCTTATGTAGTATCTCTAAGAATTCCCAGGTGCTTTGGACATACTGTTTCATTTATTTTCACAGCAGTATTTTTGAAGAGCAGATTGGTAACTGTCACAGTTAAAGGATTAAATGAGAGAAGGCACAGACGAACTCAGCACAGGGCCTGGTGGGCAGCCAGGACTCGTTTCATTAGCTGCTGTCGTTGACGCTGTTGACGTTTTGGTAGAACCATGGAGTTAAGGTTTCATTATGATGTCTACCTTTCTGCATATATGAAGATGTTGGTTATTGGCTGTTCAGGTCCTTCTCACCGTAACTCTTAAGGGGTTATCATCAGAATCTATTTAAATTGTGAGGCTATGACAGCATTGTCTTGGCACAATAAATCAGGAAGATGGAATACCAGGTTGCAATTTAACAAAATTGACCAGAAAGGCTCCCAGTCACTGTTAGATGATGATTTTCCTACAGATTCCTAGATCTTTTATTCTACAAAAACTTGAAAATTATCTCTGAATGCCTTAAATTTACAGATGTCTCTTCCTTCTAAGGCTAGGTCTTACCTAATCATAATGAAATGGAAGTTTCAAATACCGAGAGATAGAGAACAACCAGGAATGTCATCTTATCACTTTTTTTATTCATGATAGATAATGCTGGGCAGTATTCAGATATTCCACACTGCTTCTAGCTCCTGCCAGTGGTGGATTCTTTGCTGCATTGTCCAGAACACCAAACTGGCCCAATTTTCCATTATAAAGAGTGGACTGAGGAGTTTGCCCACAGCTAAGCTCTAGGGGAGGGCAGAGCTACTACTGAGCACAGAGGAGAGGTGTTTTGAGTTCCTTTTATGGAGCCCAAACTGTGGGCCAGGGATGACATCCAATCACAGCTATTTCATGTCCTTTAGAGCATGTGTGATGGTGTCTAATCACAAATTTCTGACCTTGTTAAAGGTGCTACAGACCACGTTTTTATTCTCTCATAGAACATTTAAAAACAGGCAAGCATGGATCTCTAGACAGAGACTCCTTTTCCTCTGCTGCAGTAAGTATACTATTGCTGCTGGGAAGGGACACACATCCTCTCAGTGCCATGCTGAAACCCAGTGCTCACGTGTTATTAATCCTGTCAATAACTGTCGGTAGCCCCGGATGATGTTCCCTAGGGATTTACCTAAACAGAATGAACCACAACTGACAACAAAATGTACCAAGAAATTATGATGAAGTACTGTTTAAGTGCATGAGCTTTGCCAGGCAAAGGAGGCATGTTTCCAGGTTGCCACCTGAAAGCTTAGGTCTGGTTACAGCAAATTTCTAAAGCAGGAAGGCTCAGATTTATACTCCCTTTCCCAAAAAGGATTCGATGCAACCTACTATGAAAAGAAAGGAATGAAAATAAAATCACTGGTTCATGGGAAAGCAATTTCACAAAAAAAAAAAATAAATAAATAAAGTTCTGATTGAATATATTTGTGTAATAATAAATCAGTCTGAGTTTCCTGGCAGCCAAAGGGAAAAAACAGAATAATGGAGATAATGTGGGATCTGGAGGCATAAGGAATGGTTTCCAGTTTGGCATTTTGCAGCTCTCATTTACTAGCAGGGTAGCAGGTAGATTTCTCACTGTATCATCTTAGATTCTGTTCTCTTATTTTAAAAATGTGGATAATAAGAAAATCTGGAAGAATGTTCGGAGGATTCAAGGAGATAATGTATGTGAAGGAAAACTCAAGCATAATAAAAACAGAAGTGGCTATAATCAATAACTTACATTGTCTAATAAAAAGAAAACAAAACATTTTCTTAAATCAGACAATGTTTTATTGGTCTTACTACTCCAGGGTCTGGAACATGGAGGTCACATAACACACACCTGTTTGCTGAACCAATGAAAGAAGAAAGGGCATCCCCTAGATGTCTTGAAGACTCAGTAAATATTTGACCAACTCCATTCACTACTTCAACAGAGAAAAGGTGAATGTCAGATCCCAAGCAGCCAGGAAGGGCTGCAGAAGGTCTCATGCATACAGAGTGTTCCACTATGAACTTAAGGGCCACAGTGTTAAATAATTCATTTACCACCCTCCTGAATACCTACTTTAAACCTTCCACTATTTCTACCCACTTAATTCATAACTCTTAAGTCTTCCTTGAACTGTGCAAAATCAAGTCCCCCTATTTTACACCACCACAGTACCACTTGCCTCCCCCCATCTATCAGCTCCAAACTTAATTTAAAAGCATCATTATTATTGAACTTATAATCGCTGTTATTAATAGTACTATTTGAATTCACTGTTAAATTATTAATCACATTAGTTATTACAATATCGTCGCGCCAGTTTGCATCACTAGCACATTTATGTCATCATGTGGGTGGCTGGTTCCCAAACTGTAAGCTCCAGTGGAGCAGGGACCTGTCTTTTGTTCTGCTTTGTGTTCTTAGGCCTAGCAGAGTGCCTGACACATAGTAGGTGCTTAGCCATTATTTGTTAAATTAATCCGCATTCCTAACTTCTAGAATTTTGCCAAGTGGGGATGGAAGCCTCCGTGTACAACGGTATAGAAAGGCCATCGGAAGTCCTGGGGGTGGTTGCATCTTCTTACCCATGGAACTTGGTTAGAGAAACCTGGGTTGCCTGTTTGGCAAAATGAACCCTGTAGCAAATGTTTTAGAGAGCGGCACAACGCCGCCCCTTTACAACAAAACAAAACCAGCTCTGAAACAGCCCCCACACAAGCTTTCCTGGACCAGAGACGCTGACTGCAGCAGAGGCTCACGCTGCAGGGCACCACCTGGACTAAACCCTGCAAATATCCGGCGCGCGGGCAGGGCGTGCCAGCTGGAGGCTGCGCCGGGACTACCCCTCTCATTCCTCCCGCGCGGAACCCGGCTGGACCGCTCCACTCCCTCCCTCCGCTGCAGGGGGGAGCCGGGAGCCCCCGACAGGCCGCCGCCTCGGGCTGCGCCGTCTGCAGCCCACTCTCACACCGCCTGCGAAGCGAAGGTCACCGGCCGCGAAGTTTGGGTCGGTGACCGGAGTCTGGCGGCCCGACGCGCCGGCGCTCAGTGGGCGGCGCGGCGCGATCCCCCCTGCCCCGGCGCCGAGTGCGCCCCTCCCCGGCCCTCCGGAGCTGCGGGCGGGGCGCGCGTGCAGCGCAGCCGCGGGCGTTCGTGCGCCAGGCCTTTGGAGAGGCGGGTTGCCGGGGCGGCGAGCTACAGGAGGCTGGGGCCCGGCTGGGAAGAATGGAGTTGGCGACTCGCTCCCAGGTGAGGGTTGGCCCACCCGGACGCCTCCGCGTCCGGCCTGCTCCGGGCACCCGGCCCGCCTCCCCTCCCTGGGCTGGGAACGTGGCCCTCGGCCACCGCCGTGTGGATCCGGCGTGGCAAGTCCCGCGCGCCGGCGGGCGCGCCCTGCAGGTGTGCGCAGTGGGTCACGGGTGTGCCACCCCGACTAGGGAGGCCGGTGACCCCGCCCTCGGCCGCTCGCCTTCGTCCCGGGTGGGTCGCAGGCAGGGCCGAGGGGACCGGGAGCCCCAGGAGTGGACGCGTTTCGAGGAAAGTGCAGGCGGGGAGACTGCAGGGGCGCCGCGCTCGTGGAAGCGGGGCGCGTTGGGGAGCTTTTCTGGTGCGCGTCCTCCACCTTCTCTGGGAATTGGCAGAGCTAAGGGAAGTGTGATTTTTCTAAAACCACTCGAGAGACCAGTCCAAGTTGGGTAATGGAGTTTAAAAGGAATTGCTCTTCTGATTGTTCTAGAACTTTAGACGATGTTTTCAAGTAAGTTGTAACCACTTGGGGGAAATGGCAAGGTCGTTAAGCCATATTAAACAAAAAGCCCCAAGATCCCAAACCTTTACACAGCTCCGCCCCAATTATGCGTCATGGTCTAAACTGGGTTTTCAAAATCTTACTAACATTTGAGAGTAAATTTCCCAGTGTTTCAGTGTTTGGTGAGAATGTGAACGTGGCTTCAGTTTTTTTACTTTGAAAAGAACTTTACTTTCTAGTAAAGAATACACATTTTTTTTTCCAGATGTAAGCAGTGAAAACTTTTTTCAAACGAACTAAAAATAAAACTTATAGAAAGGGAAGGAAGCGGCTTGTGGAAGCCTAAGAGATGCTTTGTGTGAGGGCTGGATTTTTTTCTTGCTTTTGTGAACGCCTCTGGCGCACAACTTCCACCTAACCTTCTACTGTTTACTTCTTTTCTCCCCCTGGGCCTCAGAAGGAGAGGCGGTGCTCCAGGCCCAGGGGCAAACTCAGGCCGCTGTCACCTGCCTGAGTCCGGTGGCAAATTAAAGGCGCTCTAGAGCCAGTCACGGCCACTTTGGCCACTTAGTGATATCTGAAGGGCTTCCTGAAAGTGAACATTTGAGAAAAATCTATTGTGGATGTTTATAAGAGAGTATTCTTTCTGAATTTATGAAAGGCATTATTAAAAGCTAGGAAAAGAGTTACTCAATTACTCAAGATTAAGGACTGAGAGAGACAGATTAGATTTTTTTGCCACTGATCTTTACCATATGATCAGTAATTTTGGCTTCTAGGAGGTTCAGGTTTCTCCGGGACTTAAACCTTTCTGGAGGGAGCTTTGCCCCCCTTGTGAACTTACTTCATCAGACAGTGTATCTTGATAACGTATCACTCCTGAAACCTGTTGTTTTGCTGGAACTGCCCTTCCACCAGGTAACATACATAGCTCAAGCTTAGGAAATTCAGAATGTCCCAGAATGTGTAGTTGGAAGTGAACATTTTACTATCAAATAATGAGGCTAATTTTTTGGTAGCTCTAAAATGTTAAACTATTTACCATGTGGGGGTTATCCACAAATTATAGTCAACCCATTATGCACCAATTAGGACAAATTACTATACATAAGATAATCGGTTTTTTTTCCTGTTCTAAAGACCTCCTAATTGGCAGCACAAATTAAGATGTGTGATTTTTTTCCAGTGGAAATGTTCCTGTTCATCATAATTTAGAAATGAGCAGATTATAGTCCCTTTAATTTAAATTGGTGGAGAGTGGTTCTGTGGGGTGGGCAGGTGACTGCAGATAAGAGCACTTAATGAACATTTTAGGCACAGCAAGATGTTAAATTCTTGTGGCTCTACCCTGTACCCCAGCCTTATGAATAAAGCAGTGTGATGAGCTGCCCAAAGAGGCATTAGTGCACACCAGTAAGGCTCACTCAGCGTCTAGTGGGTGTTAATTTCCCATATAGAGTGAATTTCCCCCTGGAAAGCCAGAGCTGGAAGGGGTTTCCAGCAATGCAGCTGAGGCCTGCTGCGGTGATAGAGGGAAGAGGTGGGGAGAAGAGAAATTCCCTTACACTCTTCACTCCTTGCTAGCCTCTGCTTTTCTACCACTTCACCGGTGTGTTGGATTTGATGTCCTCTTGACAGTGATCACACCTCCATGGGCTGTAGTCCTTGTTGGGCTGACCACTGTGTCTTTGTGCTTTTATGCTGAATGACAGGATTAGTACCCAGTAAAGGCCAGGGTATGGGAGGAGCTGGAGGATGAGATTGCCGCAGCTTCCTAGCAGAGAAACCCGGAGATCTGAATTGTCCTTATTCTCCTTTAACTCTAGGGTGCAGGTTGGACCCTTAGAGAAGGCAGTGTGGTTAAGTGTTCTCATCAGTCAGTACACATGGAGCATGATGTTGAAGGGATAAACGTGAATTTTTCTCGTTTTGACTTTAGGGCTATAAGATGTAACCATCTGATCCTCTGGCTTAAAATGTGGGCCCAGTGCCCCAGAAGTTGGTCACAAGAGGGGGGGACCATGGTAAGGACATTACTGTACTTGGCTGTTAAAATAGTTCTGTATTCAAAAGGCCACTTGGTGGTAGTTTTGATGGACTTTCGATTATCCCACCCATAGGAGAGAGCTGATTCTCAGTAATCAGGAGAAATTTGTGATCTGGAGAAAATTTTCATCTGGTCAGAAAATCATGAGATAATGATGTGACTGGAAACATTTTCTGAATATTACAGTAAATTAGTGAATGATTAATAAAGCCATTCAGAATAGAATAGGCATGCTAATTTTAAATTGCTCTTGAGAGTTCTTTATCTGTCATCCTTCTCTTTGAGGTCAGAATTTTTATCTCCAAGACACAGTTTTGTTTTATAAAAGACATGGTTTTATTCACCAAAGTACAATTGATCCAGGCTCCTTGGAGGGATAGAGATAAGAAAATACTAGTAGGACCATTTTATTTTCTTTTTGAAAAGCAGTAGTTTCTGAGTGCTTTTAAATAGGACCATTCAAGAGACCTTTTTGGCAAATACAGCTGAAGTGAACATGCAGTGGTAAATGCTAACACTCTTGTATATACTGCAAAAATATGTTGTGGAGTTTCACAGTGAGAGGGGCCAGAGTTTAAGTTCAAATAGTTAGTTGATGGCTTCCTTGCTTTTTTTCTTCATAATCTTCAGCTGATGACAAGAGAGCTTCACGACTGGTCAGTCCATCTACAGATTTTTTTTAGCACCTACAGTATGTTAGTTACGGTGGAAGAAGCAGAGACACAGAAAACACTGATTTCTCCAAGAACCCCCACCAGAAGGTCCCTCTGGATCTCCTTCTGTCTTCGCCTTTGCTAGAGCTCAGCTGCCTCCTGCTCTTGCTGTGGGGACCTAGGTGGCCTTGGAAGACTTCGAGTTCTCCCCACCCTCTGAACTCCCACGGAATGGCAACTAAAACTTCCTTTTAAAGGTCATGCTGTGCTAGGTATTTCTTAAGTTCGGAGAGTTGAAGAGTTAATGAGTTAATCTTTGCTATAGTAGGTTGTGGTGTTTGCATTTTAAAGATAAGGCAAAATAGAGTAATTAGCTCAGGGCAACCCAGCAAGGCAGGAGCTGAGCTAGGATTCTGTCCCCAGGACCAGTGCCTGACTCCTGCTGCTGGAGTCACCGGGATCTTGGCAGGTCACACAGCCTTCACCAAAATAGTGTTATGAGGGTAGAAATCTTTGCTCAATTTACAGTACCACTGAGGTGACTAAGGACAGGTTGGTTGTACTATTTAAATATCAGGGGTATCAGCACTTCCAGTTTTTTCCCTTAACCAGAAGGGTGAGGCTTGAACAATGGCTAGTCTGGTTCTCTTTGGGGGAACTGGCCAGATTATGCTTTGGGCAGGATTCCTGGGATGCTGTCTGAAAGCTTGGGAATATGAATCAAATCCACAACGCTTTTACATAGGAATGGTTTTATAATGAATTTTGTATGGTACAAGTGGTATCATGTTCATAGAGGCTGAAATGAAGACAAACATTGAACTGCTGCTCTACCTCCCCTACTCTCTGGGAATCATTTTCTAAATAATTTCCACTTAGTGTTTGCCTGCATTCAGTCACCATTTTGCATAATTTTTATAATTGAATTCTGCTTTCTTTGGCTCTCTCAAACTATTTCCCTGAGGAGCTTGGAAGTCTGTATAGTTTTCGTCTTTAATGACTGCAGTGTTTCAGTGCAGTGGGTATTTTATGTACTAATTTTCTGTTGAAATTTTTTTCTTTATTAAAGAAACTTTGCAATAAATGTTTTGGGAGTGGTATGTACCTTTCACCTTGTGTTGGATGGAGTCCACGGTTTTTAATTACTGTTTCTTTATTGTGTACTTACTTGGTAAAGGGTTTATTATCCCTTTACTTGGTAAAGGGAGTGTGCCTGGTTTTCCGTTGATGGGATCTTTTGTGCATTGTTTTCCTAACGCATTTCCCCTTTTCTTGTGCTGTATTACCTGAGAGAAGGCAGTTCTTGCTCAGGTCAGAACCAGGGCTCATGATAACTGGGCTGAAACAGAGACTGTTTTCTTCCTTGATTTAGAGCACCTAGTGGAGTATTTTAGTTTGGGAGAAAGTAGTCATAGAGGTATATTCTTGACCACCTAGAACTCCAAGAAAATCCAATAATGGTCGTATGGTGGAAGTTCCTATGGCTCGGGTTTTGAATTTGTGCAAGTTGTTGATGAGGAAGGCAGAGAGACCCTGCTTTGAGCTCCTCTCATATGTGGCAATGCATCACTTTTTAAAGAGTTCTCTTGTTTTGCTTATTTCAACTATAAATCATTTCCTGAATTCCTGAAAATGTGTTTTCATTGAAGGTTGGGTATCTAAAGGTCAAACAGGTTCCCCATTATAAAGTGGGTTCTAAGAGCTAAAACAAAAATGTGTTTCTCTATCTGGGAGCTGGTTTTAACAGGTGGGTGCAGTTTGTAAAAACTTCACCAGGCTGTGCACTTAAAATGCATGTGCT